GTTTTAAAAATTAAAGCATATCTGCTCCTCAGTCCCTTGGTGCACACCAGCCAGTGATGGCATATGGCCTCAGGAGAGGACCTGGGATATCAGCATGGGGATGAAGTCTTCCACCCAAGGCTCAATGCCAGTGGGCTGGCATGTGGGGCTGGAGTCTCAGCTCAGTGGGATGAATAAGGGACATGTCCATCCCCTGATTTTGTGGTGTGGATGGTGTCTCCTTTCCTGGAAGGTTTTTCCACTTTCTGCTCGTGTCTGTGTATGGAGTGGACTGAGCTGGGTTTGTTTCTGGTGCTCATCAGACTTTTGTAGGACATGAAAGCTAAGTGAAAAAAATCAACCTGATGGTTCTAGCCCAGGTGGACTCTTTGCTTTAGACTCTGTGGATTTTTTCACCAGCTGTTTTGTGGAAAGCCTTGAACTTGCATAAAATGCACTGAAATGGGGAAAACCCTACCTGGAAAGAGGAGGAAAGGGTTTTGGTTTGGGTGCTGGGTGTGCCACTGCCCTCTCCTGGGCAGTGCTTTGCTGCTCAGCAGCATGCTAGGCTCGCTTGGGTCTCACACAAATTGCTACTGAGTGCTGGGATTTTTGACCAGAAGCCCGTTGTTGTGGTGGTGTTTCCTATCTCTCAGCTGCCTTGATCTCAACAGGGAGTTGTGACCAAAAGGACTTCACTGTGACAGGCACAGAGGAGTGGCATCTCCTCCCCTGCCCTGCTGTTCCCAACTATGGGACTTGCTGGTCCAGTGTGGTGTCCCCATGCCTGCTCCCCCCGGGCTTGCTGACCATGCATCTGCTGCTTTGAAGGGAATAGAAGGTTCCTCTCCTCCTTCCTCTCAGTGGGTGTAGAGTGGCTGTGCCAGCAGGGGTGAAGGGCAGCCCATGCCAGGGCTGGCAACACCATATGGCTGAGCCAGGCACTGCCAGTAGGGTTAGGGGGCTTGGTATCTGCTTGTGCTTTGTGACCAGCAGGTCCAGGGAGGGGATTCTGCCTCTCTGCTCTGGTGAGACCCCCCCTGCAGTGCTGGGTCTAGCTCTGGGGTCCCCAACCCAAGAAGGACATGGAGCTGTTGGAGCAAGTCCAGAGGAGGTCATGAAGCTGATCCAAGAGCTGGAGCAGCTCTGCTCTAGAGACAGGCTGGGAGAGTTGGGGTGTTCAGCCTGGAGAAGAGAAGGCTCTGGAGAGACATTATTGTGGTCTTTTAACAGCCCCCCTTAAAGAGGGCTTAAAAGAAAGATGGGGACAGACTTTTTAGTAGGGCCTTTAGTGATAGGACAAGGGGTGATTGTTTTAAATTAAAAGAGGGGAGATTCAGACCAGATATAAAGAAGAATTTTTTTACACTGAGGGTGGTGAAACCCTGGCCCAGGTTACTCAGGTGGTAGATGCCCCATCCCTGGAAATGGTCTACCCTGGCCCAGGTTACTCAGGTGGTAGATGCAACCTGATCTTGTTGATGATGTCCCTGCTCACTGCAGGAGGCTGGACTAGATGATCTTTAAGGTCCCTCCAACCCAAACCATGCTGTGAGTCTATGTGGTGGCACCCAACAACCTCTCTGTATTTACAGTATTTAGACACTATCTTTAAGGTCCCTCCAACCCAAACCATGCTATGTGGTGGCACCCAACAGCCTCTCTGTATTTAGAGTATTTAGACACACACTTCTCGGATCATCTCTGTGCCTTCTCTGAACTGTCACTCATGTCCCCTCTTGCTCAGAGCAGGAGGAGCCTGTTGTGTCCCCACTGCCTTGTGTGGCTCAGAGGGACATGATGAACGGGCAGTGGGGCTTCCAAGTGCCATGGGCTTGTTTTAAGTTGTGCAAGAATGCAGTGGTGTCAGATGCCAACTATTTGTTTACTTCTCTTGAGATCCAACATAATGAGTTTGTTTACAAGGCTTCAGATAGACCAGAAGGAACTCATCTGATTATTTGGAGAACATAATCTCTCAAACCATTGCTTTTACAACAGAATGACCTGGGTAGCTTTTGCACCTTGGTAGGTTATTTTTTTGTGTGTGTGTTGTTTTTTTTGTTTGTTTTGTTTTAATTAAAAACCCCTAAACATTAATCTTCCAGCCCCAAAGAATAATTACGTTGTCTCACCATTTGTTGTTGTTTCTCTGTGAAATTCTTGCGGATCGTTTTAAGTGTATAATTTGTGGCAATACCCTGTGTTGTGGTGGACTCAGCAAGGCATTAATAACTGTGCATGTGTGGTCACTGAGGAGGTGAACAACCTGCAGAAATGGGTCGGGAGTCTGGGCAAGGCTGGGAGAAAAGAGTTTTGTGCAGAGTTGAGGGCAGGAGCAGCTGTGAACAGAGCTCCTCGTGTTCTTTTAAATGCTGCAGTGCAGGGCTATCACAAAAGGATTATTCCCTGTAAATTTGTCTGTTGTTGTGTTGTGGGATAATGTGAGTAGGAAAATAAGCCAAGTTATTGTTTATACAGGAGTATATATTACATATTTTATTTAAGGAATAAGGCCACTAGGGATGTGCTGCTTGCAGTATTTATTTCTTTAGCTCCCACAATTTCTCATCTCTGCTTTCATGTGGCTTCAACAGAAGCTGCATAAATCCTTATAAAGTTAGGTATAGGATAATCCTTGGGAGTACTGGAAGGGTTTTGAGCCCTGATGTTCTCCTGTCTCCTAAATCATCTGTGTGAAGCTGGATTCCCCAGTCATTTATACCTGAGTTCCTTTTAAGTTCTTAAACTCATTTTTAGTTGATGGCAGTTTCTGCCTGTTGTTTTTTATTATTAGATATATTTTAAAACGTCTTCCATTTGTAAAGAATCTGAAGCCTCTCACAGGAGGGCTGTGCTTGAGTTTTGGGAATGGAGGAGTCATTTCAGCTGTATGAACATCTTGGCCTGTCCTGCACTAGGACTGGACTTGGTAGGATGCCTTGGTCATCTCAATTCTTAATATGCCCTGGGTCAGACACTGCCAGTATTACTAAATCCATGGGATAAGATGTTTCCCATCCTTTGGTGTCTTCTGGCCTCTCATTGGCCTTCTGGAGTCATGTTACTTGCACATCCTCTACTACAGCTGCTGGCAGAGGGAGGCATGGGCACGTGGAAGCAATGTCTGTCCTCCTTCCTCCTGACCAGGGGTTGCCAGTGTTCTTGGGAGTGTGTCAGAACAGAGTTGTGGTGTATATCCTCATCAGGGCTCTGCTCTTTGCTGACCCTACCTTGTACAGGTGCTTGCTCATCTCCAGACCTCATGGTCCTATGATCTGTGGCTTGCAGGGGAGTGTTACGGGCAGGTTGTCCCTGTGCCTTTGCGCAATCATAGAATCGTAGAATGCGAGGGGTTGGAAGGGACCTTCTAAATATCATCTACTCTACCCTCCCTGCAGCGAGCAGGAACCTTTTTGATTAGATCAGGTTGTCTGGAGCCTGGTCGAGCCTGACCTTGAATGTTTTCAGAGATGGGACCTCCCCCACCTCTCTGGGCAATCTGTTCCAGTGCTTCACCACCCTCACTGTAAAGAACTTCTTCCTAATGTCTGATCTAAATCTACCCTGCTCTAGTTTAAGGCCATTGTCCCTTGTCCTATCAGTACACACCCTTGTAAATAGTCCCTCCCCACCTTTCCTGTTGGCTCTTCATGTACTGGAAGGATGGTATGAGGTCTCCCCAGACCTTTCTCCTCTCCAGGCTGAACAACCCCAACTGTCTCAGCCTGTCTTCACAGGAGAGGTGCTTCAGCCTCTGAAAATTTTTGTGGCCTTCCCCTGGACTTGTTCCAGCATGTCTGTGTCTCTCTTGTGTTGAGGACACCAGAGCTGGACACAGTACTCCAGGTGGGGTCTCAGAAGAGCAGAGGGAAAGAATGACCTCTCTTGACCTGCTGGCCGTACTGCTTTTGGTGCTGCCCAGAACATGGTTGGCCTTCTGGGCTGTGAGTGCACACTGATTGCTCATGTCCAGCTTTTCATCCACCACTACCCCCAAGTCTCTTTCTGCATGGCTTCTTTCTGTGATGGGTGTGGTTAGACCACATGGTCCATGGGAGACACAGCCAAACTGTATGGGATGTTGAATGGAGAACCCAAGGGTGTTGTGATAGTGTTGGCAGCTGTTTGGTACCACATTCTCCTAGACTTGGAATCCTACCACAATGTTCTTGCACAGTGAGATGTTGCTTTCTGAAGATAGTGTGTCAAGACTTCACCTCCAAATGCTGCTGATCCCAAGTCCAGAAGGTAGGGAGTCCTGTCTTGATGGGTGTTTTGAAATATGGTATTGTGAGACACTGACATGCTCTTGCCTTTTGTTGACTTGAACTCTGTTTATCCTCTTCCTGTGGCTTTTAAAAATCTCATAATCCCATTAAACTGTCTGACCCTTTACTTCTCTTTGGTCTGTTCTTGTTTCAGTCCTCATGGGAGGAAGCTGGAAGCCTAGTCTTTTGATTTTTTATCAGTTTACTTCACTGATTATTGTTTATTTCCCTTTGTTTGCAAATGTTTCCCTATTGCAACTGCCTCTTAAATGCAGAAACCTTCTTTAAGCCTTGAAATTCCAGACTGGTGGCATGGTTGAGCTGCCATGAACCATTGTTCTGGGGGAGCTGGCCTGTGTCCCCGGGGCAGTGCCAACCCTGGCTTCAGGAGAGTTGAAATTACAGAGCAAGACTTCCCTGGTATTTATGAAATGAGAGAGTTGATTTTTTGCTTAGGTGAGAATAGAGATGAGTGTTCACCACTGGTTCCTGTGGTGTTTCTGCTCCAAACTTGTAAGGTGACCAACCAGAAAATATTCCTCGAGCCTGGGAAGAAATGTTGTCTGGGTTGTTGGAGCCTGTGTCGATTTGATGGAGGGGTTGCCTGAAGGGGCCTGGTTGAAGAGCACCTCAGGTATGTCCATCAGGAACCAGGTGCTGACCTGAAGGAGCAGGACAGCCTTTCTCCTGGGAGCTTGATTTAGTTTCAGGTGAAGCAGCACATGGTGGGAAGTGCTGAGCTGGAGGCAGGACTGCCGAGCTGGGTTAACTGCGCCGACACCGCTCGGCTGCTCCAGATTCTTTTTTCGGAGCTGATGTCTGTTTCTGGTTTTAATAATAATTCCTATTGCATAACTTGAAATGTTTTCCTGTTTTGATGTCTATTAAAATTCTAAATTGCAGAAAGCGACCCAATGCAGCAGCTTGTGCACAGAGCACAACCCTTCCTCCAGGGTTCAGTTACGGAACTATAAGTATTTATAGGTAAAATCATTCAGTTGTTCTGGGGTTTCTGTGTTCCCAGCAGGATTTGCCAAGGAGAGGTGGCAGATGGGGGGATGAGGAGTTTGTATTTAGGAGGGGAAAGGTCAAGAGAACACTGTAGAAAGGAGGCCAGAAGAACAGAAGAAACCACGGCAGAGCAAAGGAAAATAAGAGAGCAGGAAGCTGCCGTGTGTTTTGGGGAGGCTGCTGCCAAGCCCCAGTGTCTGTCTCTCTTTTGGCTATCAACAAAGGTATCTGTGTTAGAAATGAAAAACATGGATGCTGTCATGATATTGGTCTTGGAAAAGTGGTCCAAGAAAGGATTGTTATTGTACCTTGTGTCTTGCACCCTGCTCTTTCTGATGTCTTTTATTAGGTCAGACCTTTTACCTCTGACTTGGAAAGCAACTTCATCTCTGGCTTTCCTGGGAATTTTAACTGTCTTACTTCCTCTTTTTTTCCCCTCTTTTCTTTGAGCCGCTTTCTTCTTGTATCTTACACCTTTAAAAATTCTTCCTGCAGTCTTGCAGCAAACATTCAATTTCTTGGTATCTAAATGACAAAATCAAACCTCCTGGGAGGGAGACAAGGCAGCTTTGAATATTTGCTGCAGACATGTCTGCAGTACGTGCTGCAGAAATATCTGTAGCACTTTCTGTTACCATCTTTCATGATCGGACTGGGCTCTGGAGCAGATGCAGGACATCTCAGAGTTTTCCTGCTGGCTCTGCAGTGAGGCCGTACCCTTGGGCAGAGGAAAGTGGTTTCTTGGTGCCTCCAGGTACATCTACAGGATCACAGTCTCTGAGCATGTTTGTAGAGGTTCTCTCCAGCTCAGGAGCTCCATAAGGGGTGAAGAACCTCTTTGGAGTTCGGACCGTGGGCTTGAAAATGGACTTGTATGAGCAGAGCACCACTGAAGATGGTGAGACCACGAAAACCATCTTGGAGAATGAGACCTACCAACTTGGCTTGGTGCTACAGAAGGAATTTCCTGCTGCTTTTTGATTCCTAACCTGCAATATCCATGGCCTTGTAATCTTGCTGAGGGAGATTTGTGGCTTGAGCATTTATTGGGAACCTGGTGTGTGGGTGATGACAGCTGCAGGGGATTATATTGGAGGGACTTGAGAATTTTAAAGCAGCTTTGACAAAAAATGTGTGGCCAGAGAAAAGGCCCTTGTGTCCTCCTGCAGCCTCGTTGCTCAGTATTTATCCTTTTTAGTATTCCAAAAGGATAAAAAAAGAAGCTGCTCATTTAATTTCCTTCCTTTGAAGAGCCAAAAACAACAGTGTAAAACCAGACACATGTCAGGAAAGAAGTCTTTTCAACCCCTCGCCCCCCTCTAGGAAAGACGTGATTGTTGACATTTTCCTTTGGGTTTCTGCTGTTAACCTTGCTAATCCTAAACAAGAGCAAAATTAGCAAATTAACCTCAGGACATGTTCTACACATGTGTCTTACCATTGGGGAAATATAAGGCATTCTCTTGCAGAAGTGCTATTTTTAAGAGCAGCATGTGGAGTGACACAGCAGGGGAAAAGTTGCTCTTTGCTGGCTGTGGTGGGCAAGCTGGCAGTGATAAGCTGTCAGGAGGCACATGGGAAGTTTGCCTTCAAGTGGTCTCGGGTGCTTTTCACCATTGCTTTTGTTTTTCCTATCCTCACATAACCCCATGTTGACCCTCTTTTGCCATCCCTCAGCTCCTCTGTGGAAAGTACAGCCCTCACAAGTGTCCTTCACGTTGGCTGCTCTCTGGAGCCCTGCGAGTGGAGCAGCAGAGAACAGGATGGATGAGCAGGACATGGGATTGCAACCACAGGGAGTTGCTGGCTTGCTTTGGACATCACTGCTGGGAAGAAGTGTTTAAACATAGAATCTCAGCATGGTTTGGGACGGAAGGGACCTTTAAAGGCCATCTAGTCCAAACCCCCTGCAGTGAGCAGGGACATTTTCAACTGGATCAGGTTGCTCAGAGCTCTGTCCTGCCTGACCTGGAATGGTTCCAGGGATGAGGCATCTACCTCTGGGCAACCAGGGCCAGGGTTTCACCATCCTCATTGTAAAACATTTCTTCCTAATAGCTAGTCTGAATCTCCCCTCCTTCAGTTTAAAAGCATCACCCCTTGTCCTATCACTGCAAGCCCTTCTAGAACATCTGCTCCCATCTTTCTTATAGGCCCACTTGAAGTATTGAAAGGTCTTTCTCTTTTCTGTCTGTTAACCTTTCTCCTTCTCTTTGTTCCCCATGTCTTGTGCCATTACGGGTAAACCAAGTGAATTTGGCTGAAAAATGGACTTAGGGAGGAGGAAGGTGTTTACAAATTAAGTGTTGTCTTTGGTCAGGTTCATCACGTGAACTTGCCCAGCTCTGATGGAAGGGGAAAGATCCCCATTGCTCTGGTTTGGTTCTGATTCTTCTGATTTAAGTGGACTTCTAAGCTACAGCCTGAGCAACCACCCATCTGCCTGAAGTTTGGAGTCAACTCTGGGAAAAATCCTCCCAGAAACCTGCTCATCCTGAAGAGCATTTCTTCTACCCCTGGATTACCTTCTTTTGGTGCTGGCAGGTGATTTTTTATTTGAAAACCAAGCCTGTCTTGCAGAGTATTAAGACATTTCATAGCAAGGGACCATTGCTGGGCAGTGTGACAGAAGGTTTGGAGGAAGGAAAGAAGTGTAGTGGAGTGCTGTGTGTGTCTGGAACACTATGTAGGTGCTTGGACTCTTGATCTAGGAGTGTTTTCTTTTTCCTTTCTGTTTTGGGAGCTTAAAAATAATAGGGGAGGGAAAAAAGTGGCACATGACTGTAGAATTACAAACAGGAATAACTGGGCAGGAGTAATTTCATTAATTACTGATCTTACAGATGAGGATAAGGCTCTGGTGGGGGGTGTGTGTGCATTTTTGAGATGTTTTGGGGCAAAGGAAACCTTGTAAGAGTGTTCTCCTCGCCCTGGTGTAACTGGAAGCGTAGGACTGTGTTAGCAATACCCACTTCTGCAGTGCTGCAGCCACCTTCTGTGCTTAGTCTCCCAGTGAAATTAATTATAGTTAGTCTTGCAGATTTGAAGGCAAGACTTGAATCTGTGTGTAAGTTAGGATTTCAATGTCACCAGGTGGCTTTTATAAGAAGTCAAACATTTCCAATGTTTCTTGCAGTGAGCAATGCCTTAAACCTTGGCTTAAGTGGACCTTAAACTTTGGTGGCATGGGATGGATGGGTCCTTGAGAAAACTGCTTTTATCTTGGGCCCTAATGATTTTATTTAAAGGTTTCTAACTTGCTAATGCCTCATTAGATGTTAGGACTGTGCACTGCTGCATCCATACACTTGGGCCTTCAGAAGGGAGACTACTGGCTTGCAGAAGGTAGAGAGCCCTGGTATGAGAGAACAGGTGAAAAAAAATACTAAAAATTAATCTCAGGTCTATTCAACCTTTGCAGAATTCACTTTTACAGAATAAATATCTGTAAATCCCCTCTGAGTTCTGAAAAGGAGTCGCCATTGTCCAAAAATCAAATGAATGTCTGAATCATACGGGATAAACTGGGACCAGTTCAGCTGAACAAATAATGCTTCTCTATAAAACAGAGTGCAATAACATGCAGAGGATTGGAAAAACATGTCGGTGACCAAGAAAAATACTATTGCATCCATATTAATTTTTCATTTTCAGTTCGAAGAGAAACCATAAGTCACCATTAAACTGTATTTCAAGCCTTTATTTTCTTTTTAATGCCTCAATACAGCAAACTGTGACTAGGGAAGTGCTTCAGCATGCTTAGGGGAAATTTCCCCACCTTTAGGGGAAATTAAGCACGTACTTAAAGTTGAGTTTGCTCCGAAGCGCGGTGCTGGTTCCGAGTTCCAACATCCCAAATTACTGAGGCTTGCTGGAAAAGAGCTTAAATTTGGCATTAGGTTGAAATTTTGTTTTAGAAAACAGTAAGAGCAGCAGAAATATTTCCACTGTGTTCTTAAAATATGGAAGAATATTGTGTTATAGAGAGCTTTAATAGCATTGTCTGCAGCCTGAGAAAATCCAGAACAGCCGAATCACAAATAAACAGGATTGATGTAGCCCCCTGGCACTTGGAGTTTTTTAATTCCTTATGTCAGTCTGAGCGTAATATATAGAGGGCACACAGTGTGATTTTAAAAACAAGGTCCCTCACAGCTTTAAATAATTATTTGAAATTTTTAAAAAAATGCATTAAACTAGCTTCCTTCTGTCTCATTGATTCACTCGATTGCTGTCCCTGGGCGGGCAGCAGGGATCAGTGGTGCATCCTGCCTTCTGGAGGGTGAAGCTCTTGCTCCCTTCTTCTTGCCCAAGATTAAAGTATTTGGATCTCCCTAGTGGGTTTTTCTCACTGAAGAAAAAAATAAATACATTAAACAGCTTCTCTGTAGCAGGGATGTGTTTACAGGAACCTTGTGTGGGAGACTTGGGGGGCTCTAATTTGGGTTGTCAGAGGATGCGAAGCATCAGTGGTTGGGATGGAGCTGGGAGCAGTGGAGCCTGGAGGTCCTGGGGTGGAGAATGGAAACGTTGGAGAACTGCTGGGAAGCTTTGTGGGGAAGGGAGAAATAAGTTTGGTTATTTGGGGAGGGAAGTGTTTAGTGGATGGGATTGATGGTTTTTATTGTGCTGAGCTCCCCAGGTCTGCTAGCAGGAGCCTGCTGGCAGCGTGGGGGGCAGCTGGATGCTGGCAGTGGGCAGGTCTCCTGCTGCCTGAAATTCCCTCCTGGATTTTCCTGCCTTGCTGG